CCCCAAAACCCCAAAACCCCAAAACCCCAAAACCCCAAAACCCCATAAGTAAATATGTAGTTAATTTAAAACAAAGTAGTTGCAATTCAAATTTAAACAGTAACTTTCAAGTATAGCTATAATATATAAATTACTTTAATTATGAATAGCACATCTAAAACCTTCTAATCTCAAACTACTAAAGCCTCCCATCGCAAAGAAACTTTAGGAGGCTCCTTCAATGATGAAAACTTCTCTGTGTCCTCAGGGCAGTCAGAGAGATAAAAATACATAGCTGATTGCAAAAGATTGCTTAGTGGGCTCAAGAAATGTCAATAGCAGAATGATGGGAAATAGTATGAAAAGCAAGGAGCGGCAGTTCAAGATGAGAACGAACAAAGCCAGCAATTTAAATTTGAAAGCTACAGGCCCAAGGACGACAGATAAAATCAGGGACTTGAGGCATTAGAAAAGATGCTGGACGACTATGATGTATTATATGATAGCTCTAAGGAGCAACTCTATGATAATTTAAGATCCACTCATCATTTCACAGAAAGAAAGAGAATACTGGACGACTATTTTGCAAATTTAGAAAATGACTCTAATTAAATTAAGAATTCATAAGTATATAGAGCTTTTAAAAATCTTCATTTAACGGGCAACAGCATTCAAAAATTAAGAGAAGGACAGGAGTAAGCTTAGATTAAAGTACTTAAGAAAAAACTAACTTTTTCAGACGAGAATGAGAAAGCCACATCAAATTAAGATTATTCTTAGGAGAAATAGTCTCAGCACTTGAGTAATCAGAATTACTAATAGTCAAACTTATTTAGAGACATTTAAAATTCTCATGATTTAAGTCCTGAGAAGAGATAACCCAGAGATCCATAATTGGCTCAATAGGAATAAATGATGAAGCATAAAAAATCTATGGGTAATGGAAGTTCTGGACTAAAATACTCTAATCAGGAAAATGCTTCTCCAGTAAAAAGATCAAGCGGGACTGAAAACTAAGAAAACTAGATCAAGCTTGGATCAATGGCAGCTGGTAAGGAAAATTCCTCACAGAGAAGAAGAAAATCAGAGAGAAATAAGGAAGGTCTGAGGTAGCAATAATCTAAAACTGAAAATTCAATTAATTAAACCCAGCAGCAATAGTTGCAATAAGTGTAATAGAATTTACCTACACCTATTCAGCAATAATAACCTCTTGTTTAATAAAGTCTGCCATAAATTTCACAGGAAGCTCTAAAGGAAAGATAAGCTTTAAAGGATACACTAAATAAATCACTCTTTAAAAGCCAGAAATTTCACAGACAACAGACACTTACCTAATAATAGCAGGAATAAATTCCTTAAGACATCACTAAGGTAATTTCAGTAGATTCCTATGTTATAAATTATGGCAAATTTGTTTGCGGAAAAATTCTAGGCAGCACTCTTCAAGTCTCTAACACAAGTAATAGTGATCAAATTATAGAGATTACTGTTGATAATCAGCAAGAAGACTACTCGTGTGATGATATCTTCGGACCATATCAAAGAAATGAACTACCTTTTTAATATAAAGATGGAACTTCAATTTCAAACTCTGAAGTTTCTTTATCCTCATGGTTCATTGAGAATCCTATTAATAAAGATTTGGTGAAGAGTCTCACTATAAGAATATCTCCAAACTGTGAAAAGGAATTCATCATTGTTCTGAAAGCACCTAATAACAAAGTAAAGTATAATCTGGCTTCTTTCATTGTTATTAAGCAAGCTCAGAATCTTAGAAGAACTAGCTCTATCTCGTTGTAAAATGAAAATTTTGAAGTTGAAAAAAGACTAAGAAAAAATGGAAGCGACTTAAGCGATATTTCTATTGAAATTCATAAGAATCCGACAGAATAAGTTTAAAAAGAAATCAAAGTAATGCTTCTCGGAAAGCTCGAAAATCCCACTATTGAATGTCTACGCTAGCTTTATCATCAAGAAGCTGGTTGTGAGATGATACCATTAGGAGTAAAGAAAACTCAAGCTTAATAAAAATTCAGAATCCCATTCAAGAATCTGAGTTTGAACTAAGATGCCGAGGTAGAATTTACTTTCGTAAGGTTACCTAAATCTCATGCCAATTCATAAGATGGTAACAGCGATGCCTCTCAGTAGGATGATATAGATTTGAGTCAATACTTAGAATTCTATTGCTAACCAAGCAATCTAAAATTACCTATGAATTCCTAAGGATTTTTGAATGTTCTCATTAAAGTGAACAGTTTAAGACTTAATAATGAAGTCTCAACAGAATAACTACTCAGAAAACCAATAAATAAATTATTGATAGCAAAATTAAAAGATACTAATGTTCTGTTCCATTACTTCATCTCAATAAGTATGATTAATCAGTGAGTGTTTAATGGATAAATGTGTTGATCTCGATTTTCATTCTAGATTGATAGTAAACTCGCATTCGTAGTTTGATTGCATACCTACATACCAATAAATATTTGTCTTTAAATTTAAATTTTTACTTTCTCTAATTGAGTCCTTTTAAATTTGATGGGGTTTTGGGGTTTTGGGGTTTTGGGG